ACACACCAAAATCTCATTGTGGTCCCAATCCTTGTGAACAAAAGGGCTCGAAAAAGTTAATTTGCCCAAAATCATTCACCTGGTGGGGAGAGGGGCTAAAATTCAAGACATGGAACCCCTCCGTCCCTGCTCCCCTCCCCGAGTTGAGCAGGTCACTGTACCCCCATCTGGGAGGGTGCCTTGGACACCTGCCTCTGCACAGGACCACCCAGGTCCCTCAGGCTGAGGCCAGGGAGCGCTGGCCACAGGGACAGCCCACAGCCTCCCTCTGGAACTCAGCAGGGACCCAGCGTCTCTGCTCTCCCGAGAAAGAGGCCATTGTCTTAGGAGAGCTCTGCACACCTCCGCCCAGATCCTTTTTAAAAATTTGCTTTCTTGAGGAAGCTCTGCTGAGAGACTCGTTGCCATCAAGTGGATTCAATTCTGAATCACAGTGACCCTACAGGACAGAGGAGAGCTGCCCCATAGTGTTTCCCAGGAGCGGCTGGTGGATTTGAACTGCTGACCTTTTGGTTAGCAGCTGAGCTCTTAACCACTTCACCACCAGGGCTGCTCTGCTAAGAGAGGGCCTGTTTATTGTCTTGGCATCAGTGTCCCTGTTATCAAGTCGCCTTATGCGGCTCCCCATTCTGCGGTGACTGATTTTAAGGCAATTGCCTTTTCTGTGGAGCACTGTCAAAGGCATTTGAAAGTCTAGAGCAAAACCGCCAGTCTCTCTCTAGCTACAAGATGGTTTATCACTTCCAAACACCCACTATGGTACTTAGGCACAGCTTCCCTTTCCTGGGAGTCTCTCGGTGGTGCAAACAGTTAATGTACTCGGCTGCTAACGTTAAGTTAGAGGTTTGAGTCCGCCCAGAGGGGCTTCAGAAGAAAAACTTGTCAATCTACTTCTGAAAAAAATCAGCTGTTAAAAACCCTATGGAGCACAGTTCTACTCTGACACACATGGGGTTACCGTGAGTCCGAGTCAGCTTGATGGCATTTAGTTTTGGTTCCCATTGCAGACCACAAGGTGATCTTGGCAGATGATTTTAGTTAATGTTCAGGGATTCCATCCTTCCCTTTGTAAGTGAGTTAACAAAAACTGATGATGATAAAAATAATATAAGAGTGTATAGTGATAATAGTAACAATGAAGGTTAACATTTATTGAATCATACCAAATGGCCAGCTCCATGCTAAGCTCTTAAAGGGTATCAATCTCACTCATCTTTAAGGAAAACTGAGCCCTTATTTAGCAGATGTGGAAACTGAGGCTTAGCCCCTAAGTTACCTGTCCAGGATGCCACAGCTACTAAGTGGCAGTTCAGGGGGTTAGAACCCGGGTAGGCAGCCCCCAAACCATGCTTTAAACCACTGCTCTAGCCTTGCCTTGTCAGTGCCCTGGACTCCTTGGTATAAGACTTGTAGGCAACCAAGCATCAAAGTGCATCAAAGACAAGGTCCCTGCCCTCATAGAGCACATGATCCGGAATCAATTCTGGCATACCTTTTCCTCAAGTTCTCACTAGGGAAACTGCACAGTGTCAGAGAAGCTCTTTGCTTGGTCATCAAAAAGCTTTATAATAAATAGAAATGGAACAAATGCTAAGCCAAAGGGTTTATGTATTCATTGTTGTTGTTAGGTGCTGTCACGTCGATTTCACTCAGAGTGACCCCATGTGACAGAGTAGAACTGCTCCATATGGTTTTCTTGGCTGTAATCTTTACAGGAGTAGAATGCCAGGTCTTTCTCCTGGTGAGCTGCTGGGTGACTTCTAATTGCCAACCTTTTGGTCAGCAGCTGAGCGCTTAACCAGTGTAGCACCAGGGCTCCTTTTTAGTGTACACTATATGTTTTCCCCCTTACCTGCTGCGTTCAGGAATCTGGGAGATGTCACATCACTTTACGTTCGAAAATGTTTCCCTGACTCATGCACCTGAGAAGAAGGGGTTAAACCCAGGCTTGCTGGCACTATTATTCTAATCCAGGATTATGATGACTGCAGAGAGAGGCCACTCTGTCCGCTTGACCTCCCTGGCTAGTTGAGAAATGGTGGTTCTTCTGAGGAAGATCCGGACCTGCCTGGTGGTGAGAGCTTAGCCAGGGCTTAGCCCGTCCGTGTCCTCCCACCAGGAAACTGGCTCAGATGGAGAGACGAGAAGGGGAGGGGACCACACACTGCCCTTTGTCCTTGTGAAGGATGCCATGGTCGGAGGGCCGAGGGAAGAGCCAGGGTACTCCCGTGGAACTGTAGTTTCCCTCCAGAATTCACTCTTTGTAGGTTTTGTTGCTCCTCCAGGGACAAACAGCTTTGGTGTGAACCCCCAAGTGAGATGACCTCAGGACCCCCACTCCGCTCTGGCACACCAGGCTGCTTAGCTAAAGACCCAGACTCAGAGTACTAATGTGAATCCTCTCCCCATCCAACTCCTACAGTTTACAGATGGGGAAATTGAGGCCCAAGGAAGAAAATCACTCAGCTGCCTTATCCCTGACCCTACCCACTGAGCTAATGGGCCCCAGATGTGCAGACTTTCAAGAGAGTGGCAAAAGCTGTCTATCCTTAGGTGGAAAATTGCTTCTGCCTTGGCCTGGTCACCACTGACTGTCCTGATACTTCCAGGAAGTTCCCAGGGGAATTGTCAGAGCTGGGCTTGTGGGTTACAGTCCATAGGGGGAAGGGTTGGTAGAGGCCAGGGTCAGATTAGTCTGGAAAGTCTCCCTCAGGCGGAAGAGTGTGAGCCTGTCTGCCCAGGGTGGCTGGGTTCTCCTTGGGTGGCCTCCTTGGACCAGTACGTGGTGGTGTTGGAAGGAAGGAGGCGGGAAATTAGACTGGACAGGCTTAGCTTCCCACAACACTGTACCTGCTTGTGCCACCTTCCCTCTCCGGGGGAGTCGCCTGCTCCACTGCCCTGGGCTGCAATCTGTGAAGGTGGCTGCCACTCTCCTCCCCACTCAGTGTGTTACTGCACTGCTGCCTCCAAGCGCCATAAGAGCCCTGATTTTCTAATCAGCAGAGAAACCAGCTTTGGCTGCCAGGAACGGGAGCAGGGCAGCTGATGGAAAAAAATGTATATTAACAGCTCCAAGTGCAGGGAGCAGAAAGGAAATAGCAAAGTTGGAAAATGGCCTAAAAACCAGGGGGCAAGGCCGACCCTGGCAGCATCTGGCCAGCTGCCTGCAGGCCCTCCTGCCTGCCCACCAGGTTTTGTGACAAATGCCCTCTGACAGCCGGGGAGCCACAGCTGTCACCGGAAGGCTCAGAGTGAGCAGGCTGCCAGCCAGAGGCCCACGGCTGCAGGGGCGGCTCTCTGAGCTGGCACCCTCATTATCTCTGCTGTCGATCAGGAGCCCCAGGAGCACAGCTGCTCTCAGCAGCGTGCTGGAGGAGCTGCCTGCTCGGGAAGCTGTGCAGGGGGAGGTCTCTGCTGCTAAAGGAGGTTTCATGGGGTGGCAGGCCTGGAACTCACGTTCACATCACAGCAGTTCCAAAGCCTTGTTCCAAAGCCATGCCTGGGTCCCGCCAGGGTTCAGAGGCACAGATGGTGCCTTTATTCTAGCAGTTCTTTTTTTTTCCTCTGGCCCCAAAGCAGGGTTAGGTGCAAATAATGAGCACAAACAAACAAAAAAACCCATAGTCTGCCCAGAGCTTGGCCAAGGATGCCCCAAGGAGGCCTTCTTCCGGGAGGACTCAGGGTTGTGCCATTTTCTGTTCATGTCTGTGTTATCCAGGAAACTACCTGCTCCCGTTTCTTTTCTCTGGATGGCATATGGGAGAGGTAAGGGGTGGTGCAGGGTGGCTGCAGGTCTGAGATGTAGGCCTGGCTCAGCCTCTACCTGCCTGAGTTGTCTCTCTGTGGACCCTCCCCGGTGAGGACAGCTCAGCACACGTGACAGTGAGGACAGGGGCCTTTTGACCTGACTGGGGACAGCCACTGGGGCTACTGAACTCACATCAAAGAATGTGTCAGACCTCAGCCACAAACATCCTCCGCCTGCCAGGGCAGGAGCAGGGACGATGCAGGAGGCGGTGGGTCTGGCTGTCTTCTCCTCCAAGCTTTCAATTGATGTTCGACCTTGAGCTGTGTGTGAATGTTCCTCCCTGTTCTAGAACACACTCATCTGTCCTCGGCAGCCCGGCTGGGGAGACGGCGCTCCGCAGAGAAAAACGTCTTGTCAATGGGAGGCTGTGGGCTGCTGTGATTGCTGTGGCCGCGCTGGCTATATGTCATCTCTGGGAGACAGCTTGGAAAAAGGGCAGCTGTCACTTCCAGCAGCTCCTGACCAGCCAGGGGAGGCAGCACATCTGGTGTTGGGGGAGAGGGAGGGGTTAGGGCTGGTACAGGACCCTTATTGTTATGAAAATCAAGCCATTTGCTGACTTGGTCTGGATCCAGCTTAATTTCTCTCAACCCAGAGCCTGTGAGTCCTGAACTGATGCCTGGCAGGCTTGGATTAGGACTGAGGCAGAAAACATCAGGATTTATAAAAATGTCATTCCCTCAAATGACCAGACCAGTGATGAGCAAAGCCCCGATTCTTGAGTGTGGGGCGGAAGCTCAGGGTGGTGCGCACGTGTGTTTGAGTGGGTACGCATGTGGGTGTGGAGAGAGACAGCAGGAGAGAGTGGTGCGTGTAAAGGCCATCTGTCTGGGCACAGGCCCAGCTCAACCACCCCAGGTCCTCTCCTCCCTCCTCCTCCCAGACAGCTCCTGCTATCTGCCCAGGGCAGGAACAATAGAATAATCTGGAGGCTTTCCCACCCTTTTCTAAATTCTCCTGGGCTCTCTGTCTCCAGCCCCAGAGCAGATGTCCACCCCTGCCCAGAGCCGCTGGGGGCATTTTCCAGGCCCCGGGCCCTGCTGGGGCAGCCTGTAGGTGCTGGAGAAGGAAGGCTGCACGTTCAGGGCTTTCTGTGGCAGAGCCAGAGCTCAACACTGGGAAAGCCCTCCTAATCCGTGTTATTTTCTTCTAATCCCTCCTTGCCCGCTCTGGCCTGCGTGCCACCCTGCAGGACCTTTGGTCCCAAGCCGGAGCCTGGGCTGAGCCCCAGGGAAGAGGAAGCCAAGCATCTGCTGCAGCACGCCCGCATGAAAGCCAGGACCCGGCCCCTCCGGGCCAGCCATGACATCATGCCCACCATTGCCCCAGGCAGCCGGTGAGTTGGGGCCGAGCCAGGCCAGCCTGGGAGGACTGTGGCCAGGCAGGGTCAGGGGGAGATGACACTCACACCTCCCTTCTGCAGGTTTTTTCCCCCATGTCAGGCACCTGCTTTAATTCATTTAGTCAGTCAACACACCATTACTGAGGGCCTGCTGAGTGCCAGGCACCATGCTAGATATTGGGGACACAAAGATGGATGAGCTCCCTGGGGGATGGACGTCACAGTTTCCAGGAAGAAAGACAGGCAAACAGATTGATACAATTGTGTTGACTCTGCTGTAGTAGAAGGAGCCTTGGTGGCCCAACAGTTAAGTGTTTGGCTGCTAACTGAAAGGTCGAACCCACCGGCAGCTCCATAGGAGAAAAGACCTGGAGATCTGCTCCATAAAAACTACAGCCTAGGAGACCCTATGGGGTAGTTCTACTCTGTCATACAGTATTGCTATGAGTTGGAGTTGATTCGACGGCACGCAACAGCAACAACATGCTGTAACAGGGGAAGCATGTGCGAGAAACCTGTAACTCTGCCTGCAGAGGACAGGCAAGGCTCTCCAGGGGCAGTGCCCTCTGTGTCGGGGCTTGAAGCAGATGTACGTATTCACTGGGCAGATAGGCAGACAGGGAGGCAGAGGGAGCAGCCTGGGGTAGAACCATGAGCAGGACACAGTGCTTAGGAGTTCAGCCAGGCTAGAGCATGAGGACATGCCAGAGTGCGTGGCGCAAAGGCTAGAGAGCTCAGCAGTGGCCACCATGGGGACCTCCAGGCCTGCTGAGCAATTTAATTGCTTCCCGTAATAGATTGGGAGCCACTGACGGATTTTAAGCAGATGAGTAGCATGATCATATATGCATTTCAGTACAGCCGTTCTGGCTGCAGGGACGTGCTAGGCAGTAAGGAGGCTGCTGCCATGGTCCTGGTGAGGTGTGATGAGGCCTGAACCAAGCAGATGGGGACAAGGGGAGGCAGGTGTGCAGACAAGTGATTCCCAAGAGCTGGAGGCAACCAGGCTTAATGAAGCAGCATAGAAGTGGTTAAGACTCTAGAACCAGACCACCAAAGTCTGAATTCTGGTTCTGACACTTATTAGCTGTGTGCCTTTGAGGGAGTCTCTGTGCCTCAGTTTCCTCATCTGCAAAATGGGAATTATAGTCATGCCTGTCTTATAGGGTTGTTGTGAGGGTTATATGAATTAATATACGTAGTGTTTAAAACGGCATCTGGCACGTTGTTGTTAGGTGCTATCAAGTCCAGTTCAACTCAGAGAGATGCCACGTGTTACAGAGTGGAACTGCCCCACAGGGTTTTCTTGGCTGTAATCTTTACAGAAGCAGATCACCCGCAGAGCTGCTGGGTGAGTTTGAACTGCCAACCTTTCACTTAACAGCCGAGTACTTAACCATTTGCACCACCAGGGCTCTTTATCTGGCACATAGTGAGTGCTGTATGACTGATAGCTCTTACTATTAATCATTTAATTTACTGGATGTGGGAGGCATGAGAAAGGGAAGCATCCAGAAAGGAGCCCAGGGTTCTGACCTGGTCTCTGGATGTTTGGTGGGGCCTTAGCCAAGGGGCAAAGCCTAGGTGTAGGGTCAGACTTGGAGGGGACATTGCGACTGTCCCCCACAGAGCACCCACTGGAGATGCTCATAAGCATTTGGATACAGGAACTGTAAAGGAGGAGAGAGGTCAGAGCTGCAGATTTGACGATGTGGGAGCCAAAGGCAAGGGTGAACTCATAAGGGATGAAGAGATGGGAAAAGAACAAGTTCAAGGACATACAGAGCAGCGTGTCACATACATGACTGATCCTCTGAGTGACACTTCCTGTTCCCATCATCATGCCTGTCCTGTGAATGGTGTCCCCTATGGAACCAGTCATACGTGGAGTTTTCCACCACAGTGCACCTTGGCCTGAGACGATGCTGCCAGGCCATGCCAAATCACACCAGGCCCAAGCAGGACCATCTCTTCACCTGACAAGGTCTGTGGCTTCACTGGCACAGTAAGCATGTTGGATTTGCCTGTTTGCATCACCACATGGCACTAGAGGGAGTGAGGATTCTTTGTGGAACTGGACTACATGTTCTTTTTTCTTTATTATTGTTGTAAAATATATATATAACACAACATGTGCCAGTTCAACATTTTTCAGGTGTACAATTTAGTGATGTCAATTACATCGATCATACTGTGCAACCACCACCTGTAATCATTGCCAAATTTCTCATTGGAACACGTGTTCTCGATGGTGGATGTTGAGCCTGCTCATTAGAGGTGAGGACCTTTACAGAACAACTGAGATAACTCCCTCATAGCAGAGACAAAGGTTGCCACTGGGCAGCATCCTTTACGAGAGGGGCCCGGGAGACCCTAAATCCTGTCAAAAGGTGCCAAGCAGACTACCCTCGCTTTCATTTCCACATGTTGTGCCTTGTTTCTCCCTCTGGCTAGAGGACGCTCGTTGGGAATGGACATGGCCTCTTGGAGGCATTGTAACTATTCTTCCCCACATACGTATATGGGGCCAGAAACCTCGGACTTCCAAGGAACTTTCCTGTTCTGCTTTGTACAGGTACATTGGTTGGCTGGGTAGCCTCAAGGCCAGACTGTCTACAAGAGACCTTTATTGTGTAAATGTACTCTTGGATCATTTCCTCTTCCCCAGATCACTTCAGCAGCTCACAAGGACCCCAAGCACTACTTTAAAGTAGGTTCCCTTTTGCCAGGCTGTCTTCTTTTGTAGAAATGCTATAGAAATGCAAGGTGACCCACTTTAGCAGCTGCTGTGTCCAGAAAAGAATTACTAGAACTTGGCAGCACTGCTGAAACCTCAGAGGGTATAGCTGAAAAATCAAAGCCAGACGGTTGCTGCAGATGCTTCTAAAGGTTACGTTCCGTCACATCACCCTGGAGGTCCGTGCTGTGTTAACATGATGATGCCACACAGGCCCTGGGCCTCAGTAAGATGCAGCAGGCCCCAGCTCCCTGCCCAGATGGATCACTCCTTCCAAAGAGGAGCTTGGTGAAAGATGATGGAAGAGGAAGGGCTGGCAGAGCAGTCTCTGGAAGGCCTTCTTTAACTTAGGTCTGGCTGGAGGTGGCTGGGGCAAGCCTGAACAGATGGGGCTTTTCCAGAATGTGAGAAGGTCACTTAGCAGTAGCTGCATTTTCTGAAAGCAAATCAAAGTAGAAATTGAACAGAGCCTGGAAGCACAAGCTCCTGCCATTTTGGGACTAGGCACACCTAGGTTGCTGTTACTGGTCCCAAGAAGGCAGAACACAGCTACAGTATGCAGGGGTGACATCTGGGAGGGTGACACCTGAGTTTTTGTCCTGTGGCAGATAGTGGATGTGTTCAGACCCTATACAGCTTGCATATCTCACATGGATTGTGCGGTTAGGACTGCATTCTTGTAGAAAGTGGGACTTTAGAAAGGGGACTCCCCATGAAGGCCATACAATTCCAGGACTACAGCAGAGCTTCTGAGCTCAGCCCAAAATGCTTTCCAAGAGGAATGATTGCTGAGGCGTCTGCTGTGGCCTCATCTTGATGAGCTTGGCAGGAATGGGGTCGGCTTGCTGCTTAAGTGCCTATTCACTCTGCACTTGTCTCCAAAGTCCTCACCCTCCCTTTAGGCATTGTTCCCAGCACAGCCGGTGGACGCCTCCGGGTTTAAGTAATTGGGTTGAAGACACCTTATGTGATTAAGCTCTCCTTTCATTTCATCTTTTAAAACAAAAATTCTGTTTCAACTTTTAAGTGAATTTTAAGGATGGTTCAATTCACCATGTTGTATGTAAAAGTTCTGGTCAGTGAGGTGGCTAATGGGACCTGGACCCCCTTATTAGGTTAGGAATGTCCTGCCCTTAAAGCTGGGCTTCATTTTTCTCCAGAACATGCCAACCCACATCCTGTGAGCAGAGCAGGGTAGCACCCTCTGGGGCCTGCGTAGGGGTTGTTGTGTCTAAGCTGATGAAACTGAAACTCCAAGTGGCATTTCCTGTGTGGGGTTGGCCTGGCTGGTGAGGGCATCTTGCCTGGAAGGTGAGGGCAGAGTTTCTGCTCATTGGGGTCCTCCTGTTTCTGTGGAGCAAGGTGATGCTGTGTCGCTGGCTAGACTTTCCTTTGCTTGGGCTACTGGAGGGGCAGGAGTGCTTCTGGAAGACTGATCCGTGGACTCCACATATACAGTGATACTACAACATAGTGATGGTCCCACAAAACCTTCCTCAGACCCTGAAGGGCTAAAACAGATACAAGTGCGGGTGGGGGCCTAGAATCGTCATGTGGATTCTCAGGGGCAGGATCTTGAACTTCAGTGTTTCCCAGCAGAAACTGCCAACAGATAACTGTCACCACCACAGTTACAGAGAATCCTCCCCCATGACCATGTGGATGCAAACAGTGATACCCTGCACCGTCTTCACCAGCCAGCTGATCTCACTATAGTTCACATCTCTCAACTACAAATCCCCCTCTGAATGCAGGGCCACATTGTGGCTTCTGCGGGCCTTAGGAACTCTAGCCTTCATCGGTCTCTTCCTCCATAAAAAGTTAAAAATTGTATTTCAGTGACTACGTTGGTTTAAAGATGAATATGTTAATATTATATATTAAAATATTTTCTTTGACCTAAAAGTTTATTTTCTTCTGATTAAAAAAAAATTAAAACCTTTCCACAGGGTCCTTGTAAGTACTGCAGGGCTTCTCACTGTAGCTACTGTGCGTAATGGATACGCAGGTCTGTCTGAATGTGACTTGCAGAAAACAGGATGACTGACACCAAACTCTTCAATATTCCTCAAAGCAGCCCTTTTAAGTGCAAGATATGCGTAAATCCCAAAGCAGCGGAATTCACTGGCTTACTAGTAGTCCTTTTTTTAAAAAAATTCCTCCTGGAGCATTGTCTGTTGGGGGAAAACCACTGGAGTCAGGAGGAGTAGCAGATATGCAGGTCCCCGCTTGCCCTCATTCCAGGGCAGTGTAAACATCTCATAAACATCTAGTGCCATGCTCCAGCAGAGGCCCCGAGCGCTTGGACTGAGGCACTTTTTGTTGTTGTTGCTGAGAATATACACAGCAAAACATACATCAGTTCAACCATTTCTACATGTGCAGTTCAGTGGCATTAATTATATTCTTCGAGTTGTGCAGCCATTCTCACCCTCCTTTTCTAAGTTGTTCCTCCCCCATTAACATAAACTCACTGCCCGCCTAAGGTTCTTTTCTGATCTTTCGAGTTGCTGTTGTCACTTTGATCCCATATAGCTAGCTCTTAAAAGAGCATAATGTTCAAGGCAGACAGAGCCCTGGTGGCACAGTGGTTAAGAGCTTAGCTGCTAAACAAAAGTCTGGCAGTTCAAATCCAGAAGCCGGTCCTTGGAAACCCTATGGGGCAGTTCTCTGTGGCAGTTGTCCTCTGTCTATAGGGTCACTATGAGTCAAAATTCACTTGAGGTTTTAAGAACGGACTGAGGCACTTAAGCTGCCTGATTTTGGAAGCCCTCACACAAGGCATAGGAGACAAGGCAGTGTGAGTGGCAGGACCTTTGTAAAGAAGGCAGTGTTGATTTTCTTTAGTGCTGCACCTCAAGACCACGATGGGCTTGTGAGCTACTCTGGTTTGCTGCCTGACTCCCAGGAACCCGAACTGGGGTATCTCTGTGGGTTGTAGTGACTATGGAGCACTGGGAGACTGCACCCCAGGGTGACAGGGTGCAGCTAGTGTGTGCCCAGGGAGGCGCCTCCCATCTCATCCTGTGATCTCTCTTCTGTCTTCGTCAGAGACGGCCGGAGGAGCCCAGCCCTGGACCCGAGGATGACCTTTCCCTGCAGAGACAGCCCCCAGAACGGGAACCTGAGTGACTCCTCCAGCGGGGAGTCTAGCAGCGGGCTGTGGCCGAAACGGGGCGCCTCTCCATCGTCCCACGTCCGCTTTGAGGATGAGTCTGCCCGTGACGTTGAGTTCCGATACCTGGAGCGGCTGCAGCAGCGCCAGCGCCAGATGCTGAACTCGGTGTTGCAGGCGGTGGACCAGGGCCCTCTGCGCTCCAAGCCGGACCTCGCCGACTACATCAACGGGGGCGAAAGGCGCAGGGACGCTGGGGAAGGGGCACTCCATAGGCTTGCGGGCGAGCTGCACCGCTGGGTCCTGCCGCCGCCTCCCCCTCGGAACAGCGAGAGGAAATGCCGAGCCTGCGGCAACCGTCTCAAGCAGCAACGCCCTATGGAGGCGAAGGCACCACCAAACCCGAGGATCCTCCAGGAGCTCGGAGCTGCCTGTGGGGTGGAGGGGTTGCTGGCGGAGCCCCATAGCTCTGGGGGCCTGAGCTCCCCCGTCAGGTTCCTTCTTGCTGAGCCGGGGCTCCATGCAGACTGGATCCGGGAAACGCACATCGGAGACATCCTGCCCCCCGCGGAGGTGGACTCCACCCTAGACAGCACCTCCGACAGCTGCAGGACCGACAGTGAAGAGGCTGGGACCTCTCAGCCCAGCAGGGCACGGGGCCGAATCCGGGGCTCCAGGCCTAGAGGAGGCCACAGATGGTCCAGGAAGCTGCAGCATGGGGTTGACCATGTGGAGGTTGGAGACGAGCCGAAAGAAGGCAGAGGACACACGCCGGCAGGGACTCTGTGTTCCAGAGAAGATGCTGTCCCTAAGCCTCCTGCCCTGGAATCTAAGAGGGCTTCCCTGGGTTCCCAGTGGCAGCCTGGACCTGGGCTGGGAAATTGCCCGGCTCACCTGCCAGATTCCCCACCTCCATGCAGGACAGCCTATGCCATGACCTCATCCATGAAGTTCGGGCTGTCAGGGCCAGGCAGACAAGCCCAGGTTATAGAAAGCCATGAGTCTCTGGAAACTGCCTCCACTTCCTCTCTGCAACAGAGCCATGCAGAGCCCTCTGCCCCCAACCAAGCACAGCAGCCAACTGCTTCCCTCTCCTCAGAAGGTCGGGTGCCAACCCCTCCCTCTTCAAGGAAAACAGCCTCCTCACCTGTGCCTCACAGGAAGGCAGCCCCGGCTGGGCCCCACAGGCCAGGTGACCAGCCAGACCCTGGGGACACTCCCCTGCCTCCTTCAAGAAGTGTGGTGCCCAGGACCTGTGAGCACACTCCCCCACAAACTCAGTCCTGCAGCCCCCAAGTAACGCACCCACTGCTGGCGCTGTCCACCAACTGCAACAACAGCGTGGCTCTGGAGCTGCAGGAGCCCTGGGGAGAAGCCATCCCTGAGAGCAGGGTGGAGGGGGGCCTCTGCAGCCAGGAGCCAGAGCTGCCCCTGGAGAACAGCAGAGAAGGTAAGGGATTGCCATTTGTTCATGCCCAGGTGGAGCAGAGGCCCCAGGTGGGTCTGTGGTACTGCAGGGTTTCAGAATCTTCACTTCCTTTCCTTTTTATTTTTGATGAACATATAGACACCAAAACCTGCTTCCATTCCACAGTTTCTAGACGTAATGATCAGTGACATTGGTCACTTCCTTCCCTTTTAATAGTCAAACAGCATAGGCCACACACCACTGCAACAGCCTCTTGGAGCTCCTCAGAGCAGCAAAAGGCATCTGGGGAAGCTGGTGGAGCCTGTGGGCTGGATGCAGGATTGAATATCAGCCTGGAGGCAGAAGTTCGAGCGAGGTGGTGGTGATGCCCTCTTAACTCGTTGCCGTCGATCAATTCTGACTCATAGAGTAGAACTGCCCCATGAGGTTTCCGAGGAGTGGCTGGTGGATTCGAACTGTGGACCTTTTGGTTAGCGGCCATATTTCTTAACCACTACACCACCAGGGCTCTGCCCTCTTAACAGGGCTTATCTTGCTTACCAGATCATCTGTAGTGAATAATTTCACATTTTTTCACCACATCAAAGATTCTGCTTCTAGGCATGGCTGGCATCTGCCTCTCTCCCAACCCCACAGCACCTTCCTACAGAATCAAAGCCTCTTCAAATTTACAATCCCTGACAGGGATGGATGACCTAGTAATAAGGTAAGCTTACTTCCTTATCTGTAGTGAACAATTTCACATGTTTTTCACCACATCAAAGAAGTAAGCACAAGTAAGCCTGTGCTTACCTTGCTGATTGAGTAATCCCCCCCCACCTCTTAATGCTGGAAGCCCTGAGTTGTGCAAGAAGTTCTGAGCTCCATGGCTGCTGGAGGTCTGGGCTTTCAGGGGATTTTACTCTCAGTAGAGCAGGAAGAGGCAGCAGCTTTAGGATTTGTTATTTGTTTAGAGCAATAAATGGCCAATAATCACATGAGTAGGCCCTTTCCCTTCAACATCTTCATTTCATTCAACACTGATTGAGAACCTATTACATGCCAGGCACCGTTCTAGGCGCTGTGGGGATTGCACAGGTGAATTAAATCAGCAGGAGTCCTGCCCTTGAGACCTTCTGTGACCAGGCAGAAACTCTGTCCGGAGGGCATGGTGGCCAGTGGGCAGAGTTCATACAAGGTGTGCTGGGCTTGCTCTCTGGTGCCTGAGTCCTCCCCCAGCCCAGACACCACTGGGCAGGTAGGTAGGTCTCTGCAGGCAAGGCTGCTGAAGGGTGTAGGATAGCACCTCTTTGCCCTTGGAAAGAGTCCCCAGATTGTGGGCAAATCCTGGGCATCAGCAGCCCTAGGATCCCCAATGCTGTGATCTGAGGTGACCAACTTGGCCCCTCACTTTTAGGTCAAGGTGACCAGATGACAGTCCTGCCCCACATACTTGCCTTAATGTGTCTGTAGCTCTGGCAACTCTGGGGCTGGGCTGGCTTGAGAGAGATCGAGGGCTTGGAAACAGTGGAGGAACACCTCAACCTAAGGTCCCTCCCACCACATGCTAAATTGTGGTTTCTGTCTGGGGGTGGGCTCTCGGCTGGCTGCTGGCTTGCCCCTAACCACTTCCTGCAGTGCTCCTACTCTGAGATCGGATGACCTTTCTGGGCAGACCAGACCTTGACCTCCTTCAGGCCTGAAGTCTGCTGTACAGGTGTTGACTAAGAAGGTGGATGGCCTCTCTCTCCCCAGGCTTAGGGTGAGGCTCCTCCTCTCATAAGCTGTGATATCCTGGGCAGGCCACTTAATAATAATAGAACCTATTTCATAGGAATAAATGGAATAATCTCTGTATCACCAGTACATAATAGATGCTACAAAACAGTGGCTATGGTTAAAGCAGTTAGAAATTCGAACCAACAAGACTGTGTTTTTGTCCCAAGAGTACAAACTTTTGCTCCCAGCTAGGGAGCCCTTGGAGCCCTGGTGGCACAGTGGTTAAGAGCTTGGCTGCTAAGCAAAGGTGGGCAGTTGGAATCCACCAGCCACTCCTTGGAAACCCCATGGGGCAGTTCTACTCTGTCCTGTAGGGTCATTATGAGTCAGAATCGACTCAACGGCAACGAGTTTGGTCCGGTTTTTTGTAGGGAGCTCTTGTAACCCAACTGACAGGTTGGTGATTCAAACCTACTCAGGGGCTCCTCGGGAAAAGACCTGGCAATCTGTCTCCATAAAGATTACAGCCTAGAAAACCCTATGGGACAGTTCTACTCTGTCACATGAGATCTCTGAGTCAACATAGATTCGATGGCACCTGACAATAAGAACATGTCCCCTGATAGAAAAGGGACATGACTTATGGCATTCATTCCACAATTATTTATTAATCATCTACTATGTACCAGGCACTGTGCTGGGCTATGGTTTACCATCTAGAGGGCTCGTAACACCCGACACTGAGCGAGGGGCCCTGTTCACATTAGAGGCCTTCATTCCTGCCTCCCCACCTTGCTTCCTGGTGGGTGTCTCACCGCTTTTTGGGCTCCAGCCTCTCTCCCGCTTCCTGTCGCTGTCCTGCCTCAGTTTTTGGGAATGCTTCTCCCCGCACCTGCCTGTGGGCCTGGGTCAGGTCTACACAGGAGCGATGCTGTGGTTGTTGCAGGAGGACTCCAGGGCTTTCCCAGCCCAGCAGCCGTTGGCACCATCAGCTCCACGGGTACTACCCTCTCCCTGGCATCAGAGGAGCCAGAGGGAGGCCCGCAGAGGACAGAGCTGAGGTCTGGAGGCCGTGTGCCGTCTGGGTGAGTGACGGGAGTCGGAGTGCTGGTGGGGGAGTGGTGAAAGACGTCCCCTGGAGCAGCCTTATGACTGACCCCATTACCCCCAAATCCTCGGAGGATTCCTAGACTTTATGTCCAAGCCTGGCACCCTGATACTGCTTTCCTGATGTACTTGATTATTCATTCACTGAGCATTCATTGAACGGCCTCCAGTTCCAGGTACTGTGCTGGGCCGTGGGGACAGCTGACCAGCAATCCCAGCCCTTGAGTGCCCCCAAGGTGGGGTTGCCTGTCTGAGAGGGCTCACTCCTGACTCTGGGCTTTCCTCCCAGCATTCACATTTCCATTGTCTCCTTCGGCTTTGAGGGTCTGAGTCCTTGCCCTGGGACCCTTTTGGCTTGACCTCAAAGACTTAGTGAGTCCAGTGCTCTGGTCGGGGCCTTTTCTTCTCCACTACACACCATCCCTGGTGACCCCACAGAGCCCCAGGCTTCACATGCTACCGAGAGCCACATCTCCCAGGGCTCCAGATTCACACCCAGATTCCTCGTTATCTCCACTAGGGTGTCTGATCGTTATTGGGTACTTTGTTGTTTGGTACTGTCAAGTTGATTTTCAACTCACAGTGACCCCATGTGACAAGGTAGAACTGCCCCCCTAGGCTGTAATCTTTATGGGCCCCACACGTCTATCAATTTGTCGTACTGTGGTGGCTTGCATGTTGCCATAATGCTGGAAGCTATGCCACCAGTATTTCAAATACCAGCAGGGTCACCCATGGTGGACAGGTTTCAGCTGAGCTTCCAAACTAAGAAGAACTAGGAAGAAGGACTTGACAGTCTACTTTTGAAAAAATTAGCCAGTGAAAACCTTATGAATAGCAGTGGAACATTGTCTGATATAGTGCCAAAAGATGAGCCCTCAGGTTGGAAGGCACTCGAAATATGACTGGGAAAGAGCTGCTGCCTCAAAGTAGAGTCAACCTTAATGCCTTGGGTGGAGGAAAGCTTTTGGGACCTTCATTAGTGATGTGGCATGACTCCAAATGAGAATAAACAGCTGCAAACATCCATTAATAATAGGAAAGTGGAATGTACAAAGTATGTGCCTGGGAAAATTGGAAGTCATCAAAAATGAAAATTGGAAGTCATCAGAAATTAAATGAATGCATAAAAATCGATATCCTAGGCATTAAAAAAAAAACATTGCCATTGAGTTGATTCCGACTCATAGCCACCTTATAGGACAGAGTAGAACTGCACCATAGGGTTTCCAAGGAGCAGCTGGTGGATTTGAACTGCTGACCTTTTGGTTAGTGGCAGAGCTGTTAACCGCTGCACCACCAGGGCTCCATCCTAGGCATTAGTGAGCTGAAATGAACATGGCCATTTTGAATGGGACAATCATGATAAACTATGCTGGGAATGACAAATTGAAGAAGGAAATGGCATTGCATTCATTGTCAAAAAGAACATTTCAAGATCTATCCTGAAGTACAACTCTGTCAGTGATAGGATAATATCCATACGCTTTCAAGGAAGACCAGTTAACACGACTATTATTCAAATTTACGCACCAATCACTAATGCCAAGGATGAGGAAACTGAAGACTTTTACCAACTTCTGCAATCTGAAATTGATCAAATATGCAATCAAGATGCATTGATAATTACTGGTGATTGGAATGCTGAAGTTGGAAACAAGTAAGAAGGAACAGTAGTTGGAAAATGTGGCCTTGGTGATAGAAACAACGCTGGAGATCACATGATAGAATTTCACAAGACCAACAACTTCTTCATTGCAAATACCTTTTTTCACCAACATAAACGGCAACTGTACACGTGGACCTTACCAGATGGAATACACAGGAATCAAATTGACTACATCTGTGGAAAGAGATGATGGAAAACCTCAAAATCATCAGTCAGAACAAGGCCAGGGACCGACTGCAGAACAGACAATCAATTGCTCATATGCAAGTTCAAGTTGAAGCTGAAGATTATTAGAAGAAGTCCACGAGAGCCAAAGTATGACCTTGAGTATATTCCACCTGAATTTAGAGACCATGTCAGGAATAGATTTGACTGCTTAAACACTAATGACAGAAGACCAGACAAGTTGTGGAATAACATCAAAGACATCATACATGAAGAAAGCAAGAGGTCATTAAAAGACAGGAAAGAAAGAAAAGACCAAAATGAATGTCAGAAGAGACTCTGAAACTTGCTCTTGAATGTCAAGTAGCTAATGGGAAAGGAAGAAATGATGAAGAAAAAGAGATGACCAGAAGATTTCAAAGGGTGGCTCGAGAAGACAAAGTAAAGTACTATAATGAAAAGTGCAAAGAACTAGAGTTAGAAAACCAAAAAGGAAGAAATGCTCAGCATTTCTCAGGCTGAAAGAACTGAAGAGAAAATTCAAGCCCCAAGTTGCAATATTGAAGGATTCTACGGGCAAAATATTGAACAATAGGAAGTATCAAAAGAAGATAGAAGGAATACACTGTCAATGTACCAAAAAAATAGTTGATGTTCAACCATTTCATGAGGTGGCGTATGATCGAGAACCAATGGTACTGAAGGAAGAAGTCCAAGCTACACTGAAGGTATTGGCGAAAAACAAGGCTCCAGGAACTGACGGAATACCAGTTGAGACGTTTCAACAAACGAATGCAGCTGTGGAAGTGCTGACTCGTCTATGTCAAGAAACTTGGAAGACAGCTACCTGGCCAGCCGACTGCAAGAGATCATATTTGTGCCCAGTCCAAAGTAAGGTGATCCAATAGAATGTGGAAATTATTGAACAATATCATTAATATCACACACAAGTAAAATTTTTGCTGAAGATAATTCAAAAGCTGTTACAGCAGTACTTTGACAGGGAACTGCCAGAAATTCAAGCAGATTCAGAAGAGGACATGGAACGAGGGATATCATTATGGATGTCAGATGGGTCTTGGCTAAAAGCAGAGAATACCAGAAAGATGTTTACCTGTGTTTAATTGACTATGCAAAGGCATTCGACTGTGTGAATCATAACAAATTATGGATAACATTACAAAGAATGTGGGCATTCTTGTACGCATGCAGAACCTGTACATAGATCAAGAGGCAGTCATTCGAACAGAACAAGGGATGTACTCCTTGGTTTAAAATCAGGAAAGATGTGCATCAGGATTATATCCTTTCACCATACTTATTCAATCTGTATGCTGTACAAATAATCTGAGAAGCTGAACTATATGAAGAACAGGGCAGCAGGATTGGAGGAAGTCTCATTAACAACCTGCAATATGCAGATGACACAATCTTGCTTGCTGAAAGTGAAGAGGACTTGAAGCACTTATTGATGAAGATCAAAGACTGCAGCCTTCGGTATGGATTACACCTTAACATAAAACAAAAACCCTCACAACTGGACCAATAAGCAACATCATAATAAACGGAGAAAACATTGAAGTTGTCAGGGATTTCATTTTATTTGGATGCACCATCAACACCTATGGAAGCAGAAATCAAGGAGTCAAATGACGTGTTGTATTGGGCAAATCAGCCGCAAAAGACCTCTTTAAAGTGTTAAAAAGCAAAGGTGTCACTTTAAGGACTAAGGTGTGCCTGACCCAAGCCATGGTGTTTTCAGTCGCCTTGTATGTGTGCGAAAGCTGGACGATGAGTAAAGAAGACCAAAGAAGAATTGATCCTTTGAATTGTGGTGTTGGCAAAGAATATTGAGTATACCATGGACTGCCAGAAGAATGAACAAATCTGTCTTGGAAGAAGTACAACCAGAATGCTCCTTAGAAGCAAGGATGGCGTGACGTTGTCTCACGTACTTTGCGCATGTTATCAGAAGGGACCAGTCCCTGGAGAAGGGCATTATGCTCGGTAAAGTGGAGGGTTAGTGAAAAAGAGGAAGACCCTCAAGGAGATGGATTGACTCAGTGGCTGCAACAATGGGCTCAAGCATAACAATGATCATGAAGATGGCACAGGACCGGGCAGTGTTTCATTGTTGTACATAAGGTCACAATGAGTCAGAACCGACTCGATGGCACCTAAGAACAACAATAACAGCAATCTTTATGGGAGAAAATTGCCAGGTCTTTTCTCCTGCAGAGCCACTGGGTGGATTTGAACTGCCAATCTTTTGGTTAGCAGCCAAGTGCTTAAATGTTGTGCCACCAGAACTCCTTAGGGTGTCTGATAAGTACCTCAAACTCAACAAGGCCAAACTGAACTCTCATTTGCTACAGACAGAAACCCTACACCCCCTTCCCAGTAAACACACTACCATCCATACAGCGCTCAAGCCTTAATTCTGGGACTTATCTTGGCTGCTGTCTTTTCCTTCTCTCCCACTCTAATCCATCTGGTTTGTCTTCTTTATCCTTATCCCAGTGCCTAGAAGGGGCTGACATATAGTGGAAACCCACTGCTGTTGAGTCGATTCCAATTCATGGTGACCCGATCTGTTACAGAGTAGAACTGCTCCATAGGGTTTTCTTGGCTGTAATCACCAGGCCCTTCCTCCCCAGCACCGCTGGGTGGGTTCAAACCGGCAACCTTTAGATTAGTAGTTGCGTGCAAACTATTTGCGCCACCCAGGGATCTGGCATGTAGGAGGCCCTTAGGAAATAGTGAAAATACGAATGAATGAATAAATCCATAGGTGCATGTGATGTCAGGGGTCTTGTCTGAGCTGTTCTCCCTAAAAGCTCCCCAAGCCAGAGTAGCCAGCAGAGAAGTCCACCTGACCCTCTCTCTGCAGCCTGGTTGCCAGTTCCTTGCATAAGAATTGCTGCTGGCCCTTCCGGTGCCCACAGGCCCCTAAGGTGCAGTCTGCCCTTGCCACCTCCCCAAGCCCACTCCAGCACAGCTCATGTCCACCCTTGTGTTTCAGAGCATCACCAGGGGTCAGTGCAGGACCCAGCCTGCCCTCAGCTACCCCTTCTGAAAGGAACAAGAAAAGCAGCAGCAGCATCGCCTCTACCCTGGGGCTGAAGAAGTTCTTTGCGGCCCTGGGCCAGAGTACCCGGCCCAAGCTGGGCAAGTCCCGTAGCTACAGTGTGGAGCAGCTGCAGTCCCCTGCACCCAACCCGGTGTCACACACCAGCACCCCCAAAGTGAAGAGAACCCCATCGTTACAATCCCTGCATTTGGTGAGTCCAGAGGGCCCCAGCCAAGGGGTGTGTGACGCCAGCGGTGGTGTAGCCATCACTGGAATGAAAGGTTGGGAGATGAAGCACTGAGGATGCCTCCCTAGCAGCCCCAGGTAGAGAAAGGGAAGCTACTGGTATCCCCACAGTTGATCCCTGAGGTTTGGATTTCCTAAGACATCATGCTAAAGGGACTCTAGCTCAGCCTTTGCTTTTCTTTCTTCTGTGGTAGGCAGCATCCCACACTTCTCTTCCTCCACCTAGTTGCCCCAGCCTCGGCTCATTCTTGAAACTCCTCCCTCCCTTTCCTTTTTCCCCTCCTGCTCCTGTCTCTCCCTTCTCCCTCTGCTTCCCCCTCACCTCTGCCAAGTCCTGGAGAGTCTACCGCCTTATCACTCAGGAATCCTCCATGGCCACTGCAACTATCTTAGTCTAGGCACAAATCATTTCACACCCAGGTTACTTCCTGACTGGCCTCCCAGGAAGCCTTTTACCAGGTGGCTTCCAGAGTCGTCTTTCTAATATGTAAATCTGGCCATGCCACCCCTTGCTGAGCACCACTAGGTCCCTTACAGCCCTCAGGATAAAGTCAAGACCACTTGGCATTGCCAGAGGTCTCCTGTGCTCTCATCATGCCCCTTCCAACACTCTTGACTCCAGTTATACTTGACCTCCTGTGGTTCTACAACCAGTCCACATGCTGTCTTACCTTGAACCTTGGCCTGAAATGTTTCTCCCACCCTCTCTACCTGCTAACCTCTGCTTATCCATCAATACTTCAGGCATTGACCCCTCCAGGAAGCTGTTTCCAGACCTTCCTCTGGCTGAGTTGGCGGCCTCTGTTCTGTGTTCCCAGCTCACCCCGTGTTTCCCTCCTTCATCAACTCACCACACAGTATTTTAGTTGATTTTTGACTGTCTCCCCCACTGGAGTGTGAATTCTTTGAAGGAAGACAGCCAGATCTTTATATTCCCAACACTTAGTACAGTGGCTGGTCCAGTGCACACACTCAATACACAATAAATGAATGAATTAGTGAATGCAGAGCAGTTAGCCAAGGTTCTCCCTCCCCATGTGCTGGAGTGTTGGCAAACCAACAGCAGTGCACTAACTGTCCACTAGGCCTCTGCAAACCCTGCTCTGTTCAAAAGCTTTTCCCAGGTGTCTTAGTCTCCTAGTGCTGCTGTAACAGAAATACCACCAGCAGGCGACTTTAGAGAACAGAAATTTATTTTCTCACAGTTTAGTAGGCTAGAAGTCTGAATTCAGGGCACCGGCTATAGGAAAGGCTCTCTCTGTGACCCGGCATCTATCTTCCTCCATTTGTGCTTACTTCCGTATCTAACCTGATCTTTTTATAACTGAGAAGTGATAGGTTTAGGACACACCTTTTACTGATAAGGCCTCATTAACATAACAAAGAAAGCCCTAAATGGGGTTACATCCACACGGACAGGGATTAGGATTCCAACGCATATTTTGAGGGGACACAATCCAACCCACACACCAAGTCCCTCCTCCTTCCCTGGGCAGAATGGGGTGGGATGAGAGTGGGTTGGGGTGCTGGAGCCTTTCCCTTTTCAGGCTGCAGTGGGGAAGAGAATGCAGGCTGGTTGTCTTGCACCAAAGTCAGTACCCTGTACCTGGTGGTGGTGGTGAGGTGCTCAATAAATATTTGTTGAATGAATGAGCTGAAGACAAAGAAACAGAAGCAACGAGATAGTAAACCAGGGAGAAGACACCGTGCTCCAGGAATTCACTTTTCTCTTGACAAGAGATTTGTGCAATGTGCATCTAAGCCATGGTGCCTAGATTTACTGCCGTTGTCAGAGCTTCTGTCTCTGTAAACACCGCAAGGGCAATGACAACACTGTTAGTGTACTGAAGAGATTTATCAGCAATTTAAGCTGAGTGTGCAAAGATGGCAAGTAAACTGGCTAAGAAAGTGTAGGAGGGAGACTAGGGAGGACTGAGCAGTGGAAAGAAATCTTCAAGAGCTGAAGAAAGAAGAAAGGAATCTGTCACCTGGAAGTATTTATGACATATCTCGGGTGAAATACTGCCTGTTAGAATGTTGTGCTTGGAAAATGTTTGATGAGAAGGTGGTGAAAGCTTCACTGGGACGGCTTTTGTTCTTCCTTTACCCTCCTGAGAGGGCAGCCACCCTGTTCTCACAGCCTGACCATACTGGCCACCTCCCACGTACTTTAAGAGGCTGTGGTGCTTCCCCCTGGACCTTTGAACTTGCATCTGGAAAGCTGTCCTCTTTTCTCCCCCTCTCCCCTTTCCCTAGGAAACTTCTGCTTGTCCTTCAGATCTGAGTTAAACAGGATTTCTTTGGGGAAGCCTTCTTGAACTCTGATACAAGGTCAGGTCCCCCTCTTAAGCTCCTTGATAACATGCCTTACATCTCCTTCGGAGCATGGATTTCAAATGTAATAAATGTTGTGGTTAGGTGCCGTCGAGTTGGTTCTGACTCATAGTGACCCCATGAACAGCAGAATGAAACACTGTCCGGTCCTGCACCATTCTCACAACTGTTGCTATGTTTGAGCCCATTGTTGCAGCCACTATGTCAGTCCATCTCTTTGGGGGCCTTTCTCTTCTTCACTGACCCTCTGCTTTACCAAGCACGATGTCTTTCTCCAGGTATGGGTCCCTCCTGGTAACGTGTCCAAAGTATGTGAGATGAAGTCTCGCCATCTTGACTTCTAAGGGGCATCCTGGCTGTACTTCTCCCAAGACAGATTTGTTCGTTCTCCTGGCAGCCCCATGGCATATTCACTATTCTTTGCCAACACCATAATTCAAATGCATCAGTTCTTCTTTGGTCTTCCTTATTCATTGTCCAGCTTTCGCATGTGTATGAGCCAATATGGATGTATGCATATAGGGTCACTGTGAGTCAGAATTGACTCTTTAAAATGTAAAAATAATGTGTGTAATTATTTGTGTAAAAGTTTTCTTCTCCCGCGCTCCATCTCCATACCTCCACCCCTATCTTCAGAATAGCTGCCACATTGGGTCAATTTCTAAAACAGGTCTGGCCCTGAGGCTCCAGGCTGTCTTATCACTTTGCAGACCACGTGTGTGTTCCAGAACATACCAGGCTTTCTCTCAACCATGTCTTTGCATATGTTGTTTCTTCTTCCCAGAACACCGTCACCTCTTTCTTCACTTGGAGAACACTTCCTTCAAGACTCTCTCAGGTGTCAGCTCCTCTAGTGCCCCTAAACCTCCTGAGCGGAAGTCTCTCTGCCTCCCTAGCATGTCGTTGTCCATACTTTCAGTCTAACTCTTACACCTGCATTTAGATCTCATCTGTGCTCACCCGCCCCCAATCATTTTGTGAGCTCCTTGAGGGAATTTTATCTTATCTTTTTATCCACAATGTTTTAAGGTACATACTTAAAATCACAATTTTTTAATGAAAGCAATTAAAAAGAGATAACTAAAGAATCAAAAACTAATATTTCAGATTTTAACTCTAAAATTATGCTCATTCTGTAATTAATTTGCTTTTACTTTTTAAAAATCAGAGTCTTCTATCACCATGAGATAATTATTATTAGTATATAAATAAGTTATTTCAGCCAAAGGAAAAAAAAACCTGCGGCTTCAAATCACCTGTGTAGGCCTGTCTTCTTGAGTGTTACGGTGATTCCTGCAGAACACCTGGTGAGCTTGCACCATTAATTTCTTAGAAGGCCCTTAGGTTCATAGTGGAGTCATTGGGTGGTGCAAACAGTTAACGTGATCGGCTGCAAATCAGAGGTTGGAGGTTCAAGTTCACACAGAGGTGCCTCAGAAGAAAGATCTGGTGATCCACTTCTGAAAAATCAGCCACTGAAAACCCTATGGAGCACAGTTCTACTTTGACACACATGGGGTCTTCATGAGTCAGAATCAACAGATGGCAACTGTTTTACTGGTAGGTTCATGGTTGGGGCTAAGTCCCCCGTCAACCCCTTCCCAGGTAGCTTTTCTCACCTGCAATATTGGATCTTCTCCACTAGGTGTCATCCTCTCACCAACATCGGAAAGCTGCCTCCTTTCAGAACCTCCACTCTCTGCTAAGGAGCAAGGTGGACCGTTCCAGCCTCTACTTGATAGGGGAGCCAGAGGACCACAGTGCAACTGGCAGGTATGAGTGGGCACAAGTGGCTTGGAGGATGAACTCAGAGAGAGGCCAGTGGGACTATAAGTTTAACTCCTTCCTGCCTCAGCAGCACTGCCCTGAGTGGGTTCCCTTTAAGAGAAAGCAAGGCCTTGACACATTGTGAAAAATGGAACTAACGTCACTGAACAATTAGTGTGGAAATTGTCAAATGAGAACCTAACTTGCTATGTAAAGTTTCACCAAACACACAATAAAATACTCTTTTAAAAGAAGAGAGAGAAAGCAAGGCAACCACCCGTGCCTCCCTCTAACAAGCTGAACGGAGACAGAGGGCACGGGTGTGGAGAGACAGGGTGCCACCAGAGTCTGGAGCCTGGCCCCCAGCGCCCTTGTCCTGAGAAGATGCGGGCTTGCTGCAGTGGGTAGAGCTGGGCAGGTTTGACTCCACTGTCCCTCTGATGTCTGATGACATCTTGAAATAGGAATGCTCAGAGAGCTTTCTTAACCCAACTAAAAAAAAAAAACAAACCAAACCCATTGCCATTGAGTCGATTCCAACTCATAGCGACCCTATAGGACTGAGTAGAACTGGTCCAATTAAAAACCTAGATGCAGGGCTCCCTGAAAGAGGCTCTTATCTGTGATGCTGCCCAGAGTAATCCCAACCTCTGATGAGAACCTCTAGGCCAGCTGCTTTGAATCTGGGCTGCATGGGTGGACTTTAGGGGTCCATTAACTCCCAGAAATTTTTTTTTTTATTGTACTTTAGGTGAAGATTTACAGAACAAATAGTGTCTCATTAAGCAGTTAGTACACATATTGTTTTATGACAACGGTTAACCACCCCCACAACATGTCAGCACTGTCCCTTCTCAACCTTGGGTTCCCTGTTACCAGCTTTCATGTCCCCTCCTGCCTTCTAGTCCTTGTCCCTGGACTGTTGTGCCCCATTATTCTCATTTTGTTTTACTGGGCTGTCTAATCTTTGGCTTAACAGTGAACCTCGGGAGTGACTTCATTACTGAGCTAAAAGGGTGTCTGGTAACTCCCAGAAATTTTATATAAAATGATAGATTTCATCAGATTCTCAGCAGGGTGTCTGCACCCAAAAGGGTTAAAAACCACTGCTTTGGGGGGTCTTTCTGGTTCTGCAGCAGCCTTGGAACAGCTGGTTGAGGTCAGTGAGTCCCCAGCTTCCAGTGCTAGACCCTGAAATTGAGAGGCATCAGGCACCTCTAAACCAGGGAGGGGCTGGGCCACAGAGCCCCAGCCCTCTTTGCCCTCACCCTGTCTTTGGTCTGTCCCTCATAGGCCGGCCAAGGCCCCGCCCCGGCGTGCCCTCAGTGTGGAAGACGTGGGCGCCCCCAGCCTGGCCCGCACAGTGGGCCGTGTGGTGGAGGTGTACCCAGACGGCACAAGCCAGCTACAGCTACAGCGCTCCCCGGAGGGCACTTTTGGCTTCTGTGTGGCCTCTGGAAACGGGCGCAGGGACTCAGGTATGCCCCCTCCCGTTCCTGGGTTCCACAGCCCTGGGGCCTTAGTAGAGCACAAGCCATGCCAGAAGCCTGTGATCAGAGGCTTTTTCAGGCCCTTGCCTCAGCCGTGGAGCTCTAGATTCAGAGAGCCTCTCAACCAAAGGACTAGAATTCTCCCCTTAGGGGCTCTTTCTGAAGAGTTGAGGGCCCCCTCGGAGCCTGACTTCCAGGACCCTGTGCCAGTGCAGCCCTGAGAAGACGTGGGGTTGCTAGAGTGGGTAGAGCTAGCAGGTTTGAGTCCACTTTCCCCCTCTGATGTCTGAGGACATCTTGAAATCAGACTGTTTTCAGAGGCGAGCTGGAGGGAAACTGTCTGTGCTTGCCGGCTCTCATGATCTCTTTGATGTGGTTGATGTGTTTAAATTGTTCCCTTCCTCCAGCTGTTGATATGTCTGGGCATGTGGAGTGTGCCTGTGTGTCTGTGGCTCTCCGTGAGGGCCAGTGCTTAAGGGTTATGTTCAGATGGGTCCTGGCCCATGCCCCTGGCTGGGTGGCCCACTGGATCTTGGCCAGGTCAGTAAGGAGCCCTGGGGCCATCATTCTGCTCTCTGGCTGGTGCTCAGTCCTGCCCAGGACAGTGGGTTGGTGCTGAGGGAAACAAGTCTTTCAGGGCAAAGTGACTTGTCCAGGCCTTTGTCCAAGGTCTGTGGCCCAGACTCCGTCTCAGGGCAGAGGGCCCTGCAAGGCATTTCCCAAATAAGATGTGTAGAAAAGAGGACAGGTATGCTGGAGATGGGGAAGGAGGGTTGAGGAAGGAAGAAGAGCGGAAGGTCACAGACACAGAAAGACTCACTTGCAGAAGCCGGCTTTGGGCTGGGCTCTGCCGAGGAGGGCTGTCCTGAGCTCTGATCTACCTGGTCCAAGTTATTGAGCCTGTAAGAAACTCTCCTGCTGCCAAATTTGCAGACCACAGCATGAGTTCTTGCATTTCTTCTATCATTCACTGTTTCAACAAATATATTTTGAGCACCTAATGGTGATACAGTAGTAAATGGAGCAGACAAAATCCCTGTCCATATGTGCATGCAGACTTTATATGTTAAATATTATACATATATATGTATGTATATACACACACTATATATATATCAAATAGGAGAAAGTAAAAAAAAAATCAGCAGGGTCAGGGCCCAGGGAGTGGCAGTGCAAGGAGTGTATTGCAGACAGGATGGTTAGGGCCGTTTCTCTGAGAAGATGGCATTTGAGCGGAGACTGGAATGGAGTGAGGGAGGAGCCATGTGGGTATCTCAGGGAAGAGCATTGCAGGCAGAGAGGGCAGTAGTGCAAAGGCCCTGAGGCACAGGGATGGGCGTGGCCATTAGAAGAACTGCTAGGAGGTTGGCTTGCATTGAGCAGAGAGGTCTGGGGGAGAGAGGGAGCTGAGCTTCGGGAGGCAGTGGGTCCGTGATAAGGACTGTGATGCTGAGTGAGGCAGGGCTCACCGGAGGGCTGGGAGCAGAGGTGCTCTGATTCACATTTTCAACAGGCTCACTGTGCTGCGTTGAGAATAAACCCCAGTGGAGCAAAGGTGGAACCAGCGAGACTTGTTTAAAAGTTATTTCAGTAGTGCAGGAGAGAGACAAAGGTGGCTTTGACTGGGAGTGGCTGTGGATTCTGGATGTGTTTTGAAGGTGGTTTTGACTCAGTTTGCTGATGGATTAGACAAGGGTGTGAGAGAAAGAGAGGGCAAGCTGCTCCTCATTGTAGACCTCAGGCAGGGCCTGTCCTCAGAGGGAGATTTCACTTGTGGACATATACTGATCATCATAAAGCACTCGGCAGGCTCCAGAGGCTCCACTGTTAGCTGCTCCACCTGTTCCCTCAGCTTCCTCTCTCCTTAAAAAAAAAAAAAAAAAAAGTCATCATCCCGTCGATTCTGACTCATGGCAACCCTGTCTGTGTCAGGGTAGAACAGCGCTCCCTAGCGTTTTCAATGGCTGATTTTTCGGAAGTAAATCTCCAGGCCTTTCTTTCAAGGCGCCTCTGCGTGGACTCAAAGTTCCAGGCTTTTGGTTAGTAGCCGAGCACATTAACCATTTATACCACCCAGGGACTCCTTAAGAAAAGCAAACAAAAAAACAAACCCATTGCCGTTGAGTCCGACTCATAGTGACCCTATAGGGCAGAGTAGAACTGCCCCATAGAGTTTCCAAGGAGCACCTGGTGGATTCGAACTGCCAACCCTTTTGGTTAGCAGCCATAGCACTTAACAACTACGTCACCAAGGTTTCCAGGGACTCCTTAGGTGAGGTGAAATAAGCCCTTGTAGAGAGGCAGTGTAAAGTCATTGAGTTAAATAACCTAGTATGGTCTGTATCCCAGAGCCTCTGCTGGCCAGCTGTGTGACCTTGCACCGGTTACTCACCCACTCTGAGCCTCAGTTCTCTCATCTGTAAAATGAGGATAATAAAATCTAATTGGAAGAGCCGTAAGAAGCATTCAGTGAGGTACATGTGAAAGTGCCTAGCACTTTTCTCCCCTTCTCTCTTCAGAAAGAGAATGTGTATCTGGGGAGCAGAACCCCAGTTCGGGCCCAGTTGATCTGCATTCATCTGTCAGTGTGAGATCATACACACAGTTCATTGTACTATGTCCCTCAGTCCCCCAGAGTCCATTTTGGGCTGTTTGTAGGCAGTGGAGCCCTGAGGGGCAGGAGTCTCCAATGACCTGGCCCTCTTTCCAGGTGGTGAGCGCTCTTCGCTGTCCTGCCCAGGTCGTGCCCTGTTCCTGCTGCTGCTGCTGCACTTGGCCATTGGATGTCACGCAGGTCTCCCCCCACACACGCAGCATGGCGGGTACTGGTGCCACCTTGCCAAAGGCTGTCCTCCAGCAACCAAAGGTCCCTTCTCCTGGGCCTCTGAGGGGCCGTGAGCTGGGCCCATTTGTGCTCCTCACTAAAGCGTCAAGATGCTGGTGTTAATGCACTGGCTGTCACGTCCAATTCTGTACAAGCATGTGAGAGCAGCAGGCTTTGCCTTCGGCTCTAATTGGATACAATGTAGAGATCACACATCCCTAACGAAGGCCATTTCCATCAGACAATAAACGCCTACAGTAGCGGTCTCTCTGTCATACTTTGGTCATGACTAAGTTGGGAAACCTGCCCCAAAGTCTCCCTAAAATGGCTGGAGTGCCGTCAGTGTCTGGTGTAGCTCTGGCTTCATCCTTTCGGTTGTTCTCATCACTCCCCACCCACATCTCCTGCTATGCATCAGACACTTCTCCAGGCTCACCCCGCCCCTCCTTACCTGCCCTCTCCTCCTGCCCCTATCACTCAGACAGAGCAGGCAAGCCATTAACACATCCACACAGAAGAGGACAAGGGGCCAGAAGCTTTGTGCAGCCAAGATGGCAGACATACCAAGTTGTCAAGTGGGAGACAGAACCTTGCAGAAAAGGCTCAAATTGGCCAAGAGCCAACGAAAGGGAGATGCACATCTCAGACCAGGGAGAAGGAACATCTACAAAGATTGGATTTGTAAACTCAGAGCTAAAGTCCTTCCTGTGCCTGAGCAAATGCGGAGGAGATATCAGTCCGCTTGCCGGGGTTGCCATGCAAAGCCAGACTTCCCTAGGGGCCAGGAAAAAAACAAAAACAGTGGCCATTAAGTTGATTCCGACTCAGGGTGAACCCCAAGTGCGTCAGGGAAGAATTGCGCTCCATAGGGTTTTCAGTGGCTGATTTTTTGGAAGCAACTTGCCAGGCCTTTCTTCTGAGGGACCTCTGGGTGGACTTGAACCTCCAGCCTTTCAGTTAGCAGCATTAACCATTTACACCACCAGGGATTCCATAGGGGCCAGAAGCTGGGCTTAACGAAGCTCATATGGGGCTGGATGGAGGCCAAGTAGAGGAGGTGGGCCAGAGAGATGACTTCCTATTAGATACCCTAAAATGCGCTAAATGATTTCAAGCCAGAGATTGAGGAACCAGACCAGCTACCCTTTCATGTCCTTTCTAAGGAACCCGATTCTAGGAAGAGGAAGTGGAGACTAATGCGTGGGCAGTTGCTTAGTGTTTCTAACCTCTCAGGCCTGGCCTGAGAGCAGTGAGAGTGTTTAAGTCTGCGCTGAGCTGCCTCTAAGCATTGCACTGGGGTCAGCTATACAAAGCTCATACCCTGCAGTCCTCCACAAATGACTGTGCTCCCAGACACCTGTGTTCTCATAGCAGATGGAGGTGGGGGGGGGGCCTCCAGCTTTCTCCGGGGGAACCTGCCCCTCCTTTAATCTCTCAGGTGAAACCAGTTGAAGGGGAGTTTGAAAGGTTTCCAGCAGCGACTTAAGACAGCCTTGCTCAGCTGGATTCTCTTGCGCTGCGTGGCCACGAGAGGCTGGGGAAACAGCTTCTGCCAACCTGGAGGCTCTGCAGGGCCCGCCCCACTGAAATGTCCCTGAGAGCCAGACCCTGACATGAACAGAGAAGCTGGAAATGATTTGACGGGAATGAGCATACCTTCATGGCGGGGAGGAGATCGGAGAAGGTGTATGTGAAGAAGAGGACAGTTCTGGAGCGTTTAATATCTTAGAAAATTAATATGGATTAATTATGCATTTGTCATGCATAAACTTGTTTAGTTTATTGCAAGGTAGTCATGGAAGGTGAGATCTCACAACATTCATTTGGAACCGGAGAACCAGAATTAACAATTACAATGTTAGTTCAATGGTTAGAGTTCAAATATTTAGACTTCAGGCTTTTACCTTTAACGAGAGGTCTCAGGAGGGAGGCTTAACCACGGTTTGAACTCATTGGAGGTCACTTGTAGCTAGGGTCTGAGGACAGCAGTGGTGGGCAGAGTCTCAGAGGTGTTTGCCTCTGCCTTCTCTGTTAGTGAGCAGAAATTTAGGCTTTATATGTGAATTTGTCACCTTGGCTCCACATGACAAGGGCCAGTGTAATGTCAAAGACTAGTATGTTATGTCTTTTCTCCAGGGTTAGAAATGAGCCAAATGATGCATCTTTTCTTCAAGGTTAGAGAGTAGGGAGGTTGTTTAGATTTATGTCTCAAGGCTAATTTACAAAGATTAACAGTGTTATGTCTTCATTTATCAGTTAAATCAACTTAACTTAAAGGTTATTTACCACATTCTTCACATACTTCTGTTTCTGTGTCTAAATTCAGAAATTTTCTAAGTAACTTTTTCATAACTTAGGGGTTTCTAATGACTTATGTAATGTTAGGGAACCTCACAAAGGTAGACATGTTTTTAAGTTCGTATTATAAGTGCTTATACATATGTATTTTGAAAGTGTAATAATGATTTATACCTTATGGAATTAGAGAGCATTATGGAAATATACAGAACAGTGAGCAAAGGGTTTTAAAAATATGGGTTAGAATTTTTTTTTTTTTTTCTTGCGGGCTTTTTCCAGATGCTTTCAAATCCCAAGTGAGGAACCATATCTGAGTAAGATTGGGGCCCCGGCTAGTCCTAGGCCATACTGTGAAGCAGACCAGGTCTGGGTCAGGCCCCAGCCACTTTCACTGCTTCAGTGGCATCTTACCTCCCCGCCACCCCAGGCCTTTATGCTGGCCTCCTTGAGGGCAGAAACTGGATATTATCTGTGGATACAAGGCACCAAGTAGGTATTTTTCTTAATTCATGTTTAAAAAATATTTTCTTTCCTATTCTCCAATAAGAACTCATCTCAGAGAAAGATAAGCCTAGCTCGTTCCCACAGAGGTATTATTTGCACTAGAGGCATTTCCATTTTCAAGGAGGAGGTGGAAAAATGAAGTTATCCTGTGGAGGTGGGTATGCTATATCTGTGTATGAAAACAGCTGTGGTTGTGAGGTAGAATAATGAGGTATGTGTGTGTGTGTGTGTGTGTTTGTGCGTGCACGCATGTGGGCACGTGCAGAAGTGCCCTGTCTGAGCACCGTCCCCCACCCCATACATACACACAGTGCCAACCTGGTCAGCATTCCACAGATATGCATACCTTTGGTTTGGATTTCATTTACTAAATTCTCCTCTTTTCTTTTGCAGGGTTCTACGTGCAAGAGATGGCTGATGCGAGCACAGCCAAGCTGTACTCGGGGCTGCTGGGGGTGGGTGATGAGCTCCTGGAGGTGAATGGGGCCAAGGTGGCAGCGCTGGGCTTGGCTCACATTAAGGAGCTCCTGGCCCACGCGGAGAGCTTATCAGTCCGTGTGCTGAGGCAGAGGCCTGTCCCACGGTGACTAGAGGTGCCATTGCTCTCACTGTCACCACACAGAAGCCCTGAACAGCCCCAAGGGGGAAGGCTGGGAAGGTGCTGCACAGGCTGCTTTGTTGTCAGAAAACACAGATCATGGTGGCATCTAACCCCTTGGGCTATGGCAGGCTTCTGTGATGGACACCCTAGGGGGAGGCAGGGAGCCTGTTTATGTATTTTGTTTCAGGCTATTAATTTATGCAGAACTGGGGAAAGAGAATATGGGCCTCTTTCCGTGCCAGCGGTGGTGTCGGTATCTCCTTGCACCTTTGTTGGCAGGAGGAGAGATTCAGTGAATCCTTTGGTTGGGCTCAGAGTCAGCCTTGCTTCCTAGGTCCCATCCTGCTCTGTCAGAGGTTCCCCCAACCCCCAACATTCCAGAACCAAAGAAAGTGCTTGGCCACATTTCTCCCTACTACCATGTTTCTGCTCTTTATCCAGAGCTGGGCAAAGTGTCCTGAACGGCCTTGCAGCCACTGACCATATATTCCAAAACCAAAAATTGGGGCATGTGTTCTGACAGATTTGTATGCCACTCCTGGGTGTGAAGAC